AAAAAAAAAAGACAATTGAATTAGAATCCTTAGTGTTCAATTAATTGAAATCCCAGAGAGAAAGAAATAGAGGAAAGGAAAAGTTGAAAAGAATAACAGTAACAAATTCTGCAGAATTAAGGATATTCAGATTGCAGGGGTCAGTGAATGCCCCAGACAATGAATGAAAAGAGCCCCACCCAGCACTCGCCATCATGAAACTTCCGAGCAGGAAGGAGTAAGAAAGAATCCCCTGAGCCTGCAGAGGAAAAGCAGATACCATGCAGAAGATTGAGCCCCACTCTGGATCCAGGTGTCTCAGCTGAGCAGTTCCAAACTAGGAGACAGTGGAGTAATGGCTTAGCATTTTGAGGGACAGTTCTTTTCATCGTAGGTTCCTGTAGGCATCTATACTGACTGTCCGGTATAGTAGAATAAAAACATTCTCACAGTTTGAAGGTCTCAGAAATCTTCCTCATATGCATCTTGTGTCAGAAAGTTGCTGGAAACTGGGTGCCACTAAGATACAGTGAATTAAAAACAAAAACAAACACACACACAAAAAGAGGCAGGGCCCAGCACAGTGGCTCACATCTGTAATCCCATCAGTTTGGGAGGCTGAGGCGGGCAGATCACTGGAGCCCAGGAGTTCAAGACCAGCCTGGCCAACATGGCAAAACCCCATCTCCACTAAAAATACAAAAATTAGCCCGGCGTGGTGGCAGTGCCTGTAGTCCCAGCTACTCAGGAGGCTGAGGCAGGAAAATCACTGGAACCCGAGATCACACCACTGCACTTCAACCTGGGCGACAGAGTGAGACTCTGACTCAAAAAAAAAAAGAAAAGAAAACCCCATACAAAACAGGTGGAATATCCAGGAAACAAGGATCAGAACTGAATAGAGGGAAAGGGAATTTCCAGGAAATGCAATTAAGATGTGCACATGTACCCTAGAACTTAAAGTATAATAATAAAAAAAAAAAAAGAAAAAAAGCTAGAAAACAAATCAGTTATCAAGTTCAGGGAAAGCAAAAAGGTAGTTTAGAAATTTTAATTATGATATACATTATACATCTCAGCAGGAGAAAATTCCTGCTGAAGAGAACTTCTATTTTTCATAATTTTGATGCCTACTATAAGTAAATATGTATCACTAAATAGTAAATATTAATTTAGATCTTTTGCTATAATTTTTTGGAAAATGGAGAGGAAAAGTATGAGTCTGTGTGTGTGTGAGAGAGAGAGTGTGTGTGTGTGTCTGTGTCTGTGTGTGTGAGTCTGTGTTTATGTGAGAGTGTGTGTGTGTGTGTGTCTCTCTCTCTCAAAGAATCAAATCCTCGTCTTCTGGAGTAGGACGCTAATACCTAACATGGAAAAATCAAGAAACAGTACAATAAGCTTCTTATTTAGAAAAATGGAATAAATACCAAAAAACCAGTGTGAAGTGGTTACTGCTGGAGAGGGGGTGGTAGACAAGAAATTGCTTGTTTTTTGACTCAGCTTTGTGGAGTTATTTACTTTCTGTTATGTCCATGTTTTATGTAAAATTTATTACAGAATTTTAGAGGTATAGGAGGTTATACTGTAACAGAAGAAAAGAAAAAATTATTTTTAGAAGAAAAAATAGACTAGAAAAGCATGCCAATTGTTAGTAGTTTGAGTATTAATAAAGTGATTATGTTCTTCCTTTTATATATATTTTTTAACTTTTTTTTGCAATAAATGTGTGTTACTGATAAAAATTAAAAGGAGACTTTTTTTTTTTTTTTGAGACGGAGTCTTGCTCAGTCGTCCAGGTTGCAGTGCAGTGGCGCGATCTCGGCTCACTGCAAGCTCTGCCTCCTGGGTTCACACCATTCTCCTGCCTCAGCCTCCTGAATAACTGAGACTATAGGTGCCCGCCACCATGCCCGGCTAATTTTTTTTTTTTTTTTGTATTTTTGTTAGAGACGGGGTTTCACCATGTTAGCCAGGATGGTCTTGATCTCCTGAGCTTGTGAGCCACCCGCCTCGGCCTTCCAAAGTGCTGGGATTACAGGCATGAGCCAGCACACCCAGCCTAAAAGGATACTTTACACACACACACACACACACACGCTCTCTCTCTCTCTCTCCCCCTCTCATTGTCTCTCTCCCCCTTTCTGTCTCCTGTATACGTGGTATACATGGTGCAAGCATGAGTTAATAAACCAGAGAGCACCAGGGTCAGAGTTGCAGTGGCAGACGTGGGGTGTTGCAGGCACCATTCCTGTGACGGGCCCTTGGGAGGCCAGAAAGTACTTGGACTGGAGGTGCAGACTTGGCTCTGAACTGCTCCGGAGCAGGACAGCTCTCATCATATGATAGTCATCATATTCATTCTTTCTTTTTTGTTTTCTTTTCTTTTTTCTGAGACACAGTCTTGCTCCATCACCAAGGCTGGAGTGCAGTGGTGTGATCTCGGCTCACGGCTCACTGCAATCTCCGCTTCCCGGGTTCAAGCAACTCTCCTGCATCAGCCTCTTGAGTAGCTGGGACTACAAGTGCCCACCACCATGCTCGGCCCATTCTTTGCGTATACTCAGCACTGCTCTACACACAACGTTCTTTAAATGAATTTTAATCAATGAGAGTGAATGAATAAAAACTTTCACCCTAATGAGGAGAGGAGCGTAGGATTATGTAGTCCTTCGGAAACAAAGAAATGGAATTAGTGAATTCAGTTTTACAGACAACACAGATTTCACGTTCAGCAATTAGACCTGCCCAGTATTCATGAGCTGCCTTTAGAAGCTGTGTGTCTTTCACTGTTGAAGGCTGTGAGCAGGAGATAGATTTCTGCTGTGGTTGGGGTGCTAATGTCCATACACTGATCTAATATCCCATATACTAAGAAACTTCATTGCGATTCTGGGTCAAGATGTGTCCACCTGTGGACCATTAGATAGTCTTGGCTGTGGCTGCTCTGGAACATGAACATGCAGTCAGGGAAGCAAACCTAAGTCAGGTCAGGGTGAGGTCTGAGCTGAACCCATCAGCTCTTCTCTGTGTGATCACAGTTCACGGCAGCCCATCCTGTTCCAGAGGAAATTGTTCTTCTTACATTTAATGAAGGGCTATGGGTCTCCTTCTCTTGTGTGACACGGAAGTTTACCAACCCTCCAGACTTGCCTGGAGTCCTTAGAAAATATGAGCTCCCTGCTCATAGGGGTCTTTGGGGTGTCTATGAGCAACAAACACTGTGCTACCTCCAGGCCATTCCTTGGACATCTGCTGGTCTCTCGCCTCACGACCTCCCCTGCCTGCATGGGAGGACCTGGAAAGGGAACTGGCCATCTAACAACCTTCTTGGAGCACCACCTTCCGCGTGCAGGTCCTGCCCCAGCACAGTCACCCTAACACTGCCTGCCTTTCTTTCTTTATACTTCGTAGGTATCTCTAGGGTCACAGATTGATTTACAGAAGAAGAAGCGACGAGCGCCAGCTCCCCCTCCACCACAGCCACCACCACCGAGTCCCCTGATCCCCAACCGCACTGAGGATAAGGAGGAGAACAGGAAGAGCACAATGGGTGAGTGAGGCTTGGCCTGCTGTCTGCATGCAGGGATGCTTGCTGTGTCCTGGAATGTCACCTCTGATGTGAATTCCTGCAGTGGCCTCATCCATAATGGCATTAACTCAAAAAATATTAATGCTAAAGAAAGAAGGGCTGGAAAGAAATAATTGCAAGTTCACTTCATATCTTACTAGCAGTATTTCGTGGACATTATGTGAGTATTTAGGAGGTGGGGGATGGTGGAAGCAGGGAAATGGTTGTAGGAGCCCGGAGAGGGTGAAAATGGAAAGCCTGTGAGTGTGAGTGTGTGATGTGTCTCTGATGACAAAAGGAGAAGTTCCTAAGGTGACATCGTGGAAGCTGCTTTGAAGGACATCTGGCATTTCAAAGAGATCTGAGGCCACAGGTGATATATAGACAAGTTGACATCAGCTCAGTAATTTTTAGACTATCCTGTTTGAAACTGATCTTCACTTATATTTCCTGGTACACATTTAGCAAAGACCCTGATCTTCTTTGAGAAAAAGAGAGCCCAGAGGAAAGAAGATAGACTCATACTATCTATGGGCAGAAAGAGACCTATTAGATCATCATCGCCCACCCCTCGTGCTACAGGCGAGGTGGAGAGAAGCTGAATGATGGCGCTCTCCATGTCCAGGGGAGTCAGGGGTTCATTTTATTTTTAAATCATTCAACATTTGTTATTTCACTTATGTAGGAACAGAAATGGCTCTTTCAGAGAGTGACTGGAAAATGGCAGCCTAGGAGTCACACCCTCCTGAGCTGAGAGCCCCGAGAATGGCCTGTGTCAGTGCTCACGCCGAAGCCACCAGCACTCACAGGCCACTCACCATACCCTTTAACTCACCCAGGCAGCCCCGCGTTGTGCCTTTGCCCTAAGGTCTGCAGCTGCAGGAGGGAAAGTCCGCCCAGGATAAGTGGCTGCCTTGGCAGTTTCTGGACCTTTAGTGAGAGCTCCATGGCAGTTTGTCAGCATCTTTCCCCTTAGTCAGTTCCCCACTTTTAATGTGTTAGCATTTCAGCCTGGAAGTCAGTTACCCTAAGAAGCAATAACCTATATTGCATGTCACCTCATCCCCTTTCCCAAAGGATTGAAAGAAAACATTGTCAGTGGATCATTAAAATAAACCTGGTTTTCTCCTATTTCATGAAGAGCCCCCCTTCTCCCTTCCAAGCTCTCTCCCCATGTTTTGTAAAGGGACAAAAGCCCCTGGTTTAAATCTTAAGTGACATCCACTGTAAATGGCTGTATGTGGTTGGATCATGCTGATCCCTAGACCAGTCACTTCAACCCAGGGCAGGACCCCCTGACTCCGTCCTAGAGGCTTGAGTCCTTGTGTCCCATGTGCTTGGGACACAACATCCCCACCCTCTCTACAACTCAGGACATTCTTCAAAACAAACTTGGAGAACTATTACCCTAAACAACCAAAGGGGTTGAAAAGTATAAATGGACTCAGGAGATAAGTTAAATGAATGCTTCATCTAGCCAGAATAGGTCAGTGACTCTAGAAAAGCAACAAGAATAGGCTAAAAACAGATCTATGAACCTGAAAAGGACTAACATGAATAAAAGGAGTTCCTTTAAACTTGACAAAGCTCTGTAGGGGGTGTTGAAGGATAGTTTTCAAGCCCAGCATTTATGTAGTTGTATCTGTTAAAAAGAAATTGCAACCAGGCATGTCTTTCCAAACTGCTCCAATGATAGAACACTACGTATGTAAAATGTTAAAGTGTGAGTGTGGCTGGATGTGGTTGGTGCCAGACGAGAATGGATTAGGTGCTGGATAAGACTGGATCCGGTGTTAGGTGTGGCTGGATCTGGTGTTGAGTGTGGCTGGATCTGGTGCCCAGTGAGGTTGGATTTGGTGCTGGGTGAGTGATGGCTTAGCTTAACCTGCTGAAGTAACTCCCTATTGATTCCATATAGGTGGTGGACGGCAGGTGCCACAAAAGCCTCCCAGAGGCACTGCTCGGGGTCCACCCCAGTTAGTGCTCCCCCCACCCCCGCCCTACCCACCTCCCGACCCAGATGTGGTGGAGCCTCTCAGCTTTCCCGGGGAAGGCACTGGTACCGAGGCCTCAGACCAGAGACCCAAACGTATGTTCCTCTTGCTTCATTCTGACTGTGTTGACCGTTCATCTCTCTGGGCACTGTGATGTCGGGGCTGGGTTTCCAGATTTTCCATTGTTGTCTTTGGATGTGTGTGCCTATCCTTCTCAGCTCTTGTTTCCCAATGCTGAATGCAGTGTGTCTGATTTCACAGAGAACGCACTCTGGAGAGCTTAACCAGGAAATCATGCCTATCTGTGGTCAGACTTCAGCTAAACACACACCTTGTGGTTGTAGGGACGTCAGCTAGGGGCCAGTGTTCTGATACTAGAATGAACCTGAGTGTCTGTAGAGAGAGACAGCTGTCCGGCACAGCCGTCATGTGATCTGGATGGTGGGCTGACTCAGGCGGGCTGTGGGCACACCTGCAGAGGTCGCACTTGAGAGCTGGGAAGACGTCCTTCATAAGTTAGCCTTGGAACTCTGTGGCGAGCGGCCAAGCATGAGTACTGCTTCTCTATGGAAAAGGAAACTGAGGTATGAGAAGGGGAAGCAGGTCACTTTGAGTGTACTAATAGCCAGAATGAAAGTCCTGCTTTGCTTCTGTTTCCTGGCACACCCTGTTTGAGATGAGGCTCTCCTTGTTGTTTCCTGGGGTTCTTTTGGACTTTAATAAGTGGGGATAGCATTCCCACCTCCAGACAGGCATAGTTTTATACACTTACTCTCTATACTCCGTGGCATTATGGGCATATTGGGCCTGCGTTTGGACCGCTTCAGTATGTCTTAGCTGTGCGGCGAAACTTCCTGATAAAGCAAGCGCTATCCTGGGCTGTGTACACGGAGCAGCACAATGTCACTGTGCGTGCAGCCGGGAGCCTTGCTGGTGCCCACATGAGTGTGCACAGCCTTCTGGTTAGGAAGTTCATACGTTTTTTGCCACTGGACTGCTTTATCTTTTTCTGTCTTCTTTCGAAATGATGATTAGCTGCCTGCCAGCTTCTGGGTAAAGAAGATAATTGTTGGATTACTTATCGAATTTCTCTAGGCAAAATAATCCTGATTCATTTTATCTTTCTTCACAAGTACCTCTTTTCCACCCTTAAAATACGTTTGATCATCTTGACATTCAAGATACTTCCGAATGCAAATTCATTTTTTAGGGCATTCAAAAAGGAAGGGTTAGGCTTATCAATCAGAAAGACAGCAGCCGTGGCGTGGATGGCTCCAGAGCCATTTCATCTCCGAAGACAATGGGTTTTAAGCCCCACACACCAAGGCCATGAGAGTCGGTGCTCTCTCCTGCGGCCGATGCCCTCACCTACAGAATCTCCTCCCTGTGGGAAAAAGTGAGGGAAAAATAGCTGGATGAAAGCTATAAAGCCAAGTACAGCCCGTTGGCAATCACAGAATGGGCCCAGCACCAGGGCTCTGTGGCAGCCTACACAGGATGGGAGAGCTGGGTGCAAACTTGCAGACCCTCGATTCCTCCTGGGTTCCCTGTGTGTTGGGGGCGCTTACTGTGCAGATGCAGCATCTGCTGGGGCAATGTGCCGACAAGATGTGGGAGGGGTACTTACCAAGGCTGCGTCAGGCTTGAGGCATCAGGCTTCATCCTGCATCTCTGCAGAGCTGTGGAACCTCCCCACCCGCTGCCCTTAGACCTTCGGACAGGTCTGAGCCGGAAGGAGAGCGAAGTGGCAAAGAGAAGACCAGACTCACCTTCGTCTTGCCTTGTGGCTCTATTTCCTCCTTGTGCCCTCTGCCAGCTCCATACTGGTTCATTCCCCCAGGTCCATGCACCTGGGGCTTCCTTTGCCCTCAGCATCATAATTCGCCTTCTCCCTCCTCTTCCCCTCTCACACCCACAGCAATGGAGTAGGGAGAAGAGGAGTTTGGGACAGGGAGGCCGAAGGAGGCATCAGATGGAGTACACCAATTTCAGTTCCCCCTCCCCTGCAGACCAGCCGGGCGCCTTGCCCTTCTTGAGACTCGGAGTCTCCCCTCCCTCTCCTGCCCCGCTCCAGCCCGCGCTCTTGGCTGCCAGCGCACCACAAGTTCAAGCATCCACCTCCGAGCTTTTATTCTGCTAATTAGCAGAACCAGCCTGCCCATTGTTTATGGCTTTACAAACCAGGATTCCCCGCCCAAGCAGGCAGAATGCAGCTTGCCTTCAGGACTTAAAAAAGTTAAGGAAAATGAATCTTTTCTTTTCATTTGTTGTATCTTTTTACAAAATGTTGAAATCTGGGTGATCCTTCCACCCATCCCCAGCGAGGCACGGGCTGTTGGCACCTGAGTGCTGGGTGTGAATGTGCGTCCCTGTGGCCCGTGTTCACCCCTGCGCTCCTGAGCAAACTTCTGGCTATTTTTGGCTGTGTGGAAGCTCAGTGGAGACATTTTAATGCCAGCTATAAGCACTTGCCTATCTCCTCTTGAGTTCAGTTTTAAAACCATGTTCCTCACATAACAAACACTGTGTTTATAGGGGAGCTTACCCTGAGTACCTACGAGGTCTAGTCGGTCCACCAGGCATCTCACAGAAGCTCTCTCACTGCTTCGTAGGGTATGCACAGTCACCATGGGGAAACTGAGGCAGGAGGCCTTACCCCCATAAGCAGTATAGAGGGGCTTCTGTTTATGGGATCTCAGACTCTCAGTGTTTGCTTCATCCATCACCCTGTACTTCTCTCCTGCCGCTGCAGAGACTCCCAGGGGACACTGTGGCTTTCACCTCCATTGTGATTTCTACAGCAGATGATATACTCCTCTTAGGCTGTTAAAAAGGAGAAATACACTTTTTTGAAAACTAGTGTCCACTAACCTTCATAAGATAAAAAGATTCAAAAAGCTAATGGATAATGGATTTGTACGCAGATTTAAGAAGGCGAGAAGACATAAATAGGTCCTATACAACTTCACCCTTTATTTTATCTCTTCAACTCTGAGCCATTCTGTTCCAGCCATTCCCCTGTCTCCTCCCTGACCTCTGTAAGATCTTGACCCAGTCACAGGCCTGATGACTTTGCTGGGGTCTCAATAGGCTACTGCCAGCCTCTCTTCCACAGCCAGCCTCCTACCAGCCTGCCTGAAACTCAGCCCAAGCACGAAGCTCTCACTCCCATTTTGATGCTGAAACTGTTGTTAGTACTCGATACTCGGTCATAAAAACCACATTTACCTGGAACAAAGGCCAAATGGAGAAGGCTGTGTGCTCAGATGTTCAGTACCACTTATGTGTGGGGCTTCTGAACTCTTGTGAACAAATACATGGTTTGTATCAAGAGTTCAGAAGAGGTGGAGCAACCACCTGCCCGGGTCTATGTGGCTGTAAGAGGCCACCTCTCGGCAGCCAGCTCTGCAGCTCACTGAGCCCGTGTGCAGATTGCTCTCAGCTCCCTGTCTGCTCAAGCCACAGCTGCACAGTGCAAGTTCTCTGTGCACGCCCTGTGGCCATCTCAAGTACCTGTCTCTGGCAAGCCTCTCACTCCCTCCAGTGGGAATTCCTCCCACTACCCTCTAGGCGTTTATCCTTTACCGTACTCGCCATACCGTATTACACACACCTGTTATGTGCCTCCTCTACTAGTTCGAGCTGTTGATACTTGAAGGCTTAACTGTTTTATCCATATTTGTATCCGTCCTTCAGATTGGTGCCTGACACATAGCATAAATTTACTAAAGAAATATACCAGAATGTATCTCACCATGTGAATTGTAAGTATCAAATTATGGTGGAATATGCTATTCTGTTGAGCTTCATTAAACATGTTTTCCAGGCTAAAGGGCATCTAGTACCCAGCATTTTAGGTCTGTCTATAGGACACCCCTCAAAAGAGTTAACACTGCATCAAAGACCTGTTGCAGTTATACTTGAGAAAGATATGAAGATCTCCGTGGATTTCAGCATCCAGCCTTGGTTTCTTCTTGGGTGGTTTCTTGGTCTGGCCTTGCTTCTGGGATGCCTTCAGTTGTGTGTTGGCCTCTCTGAAGTGGCTCTTAGTGATTCCCACCTCCTGTGTTCACCCCCTAGCCTCTTGTAGTCTCTTGCCATGAATGCACACTGTACTTAGTGACTCCTATCTAAGGAATCAAATATGACAAAGGTAGTGGGATGTCACTTCTTACATCCAAGTTTAGGGTTGAAAGGGACTGTGGTCTCTATCTTGGGCACCCTCTCTCACTTGCTTACTCTGATGAAAGCCAGCCACCACGCTGTGAGCTGCTCTATTGAGACCCATATGGCAAGGAGCCGAGGGAGACTTCAGCCAACAGCCAGTGAGGAACTGAGGCCCTTTGTCCACTGATCATGAGCCTAGAAACCTGCCAACAGCCACTTGAGTGAAGTTGGGGGCAGATCTTTCCCCAGTAGAGCCTACAGATGAGACCATAGCCCTGATTGACACCTGGATTGTAGCCTGGTGAGAGACATCCAGCAAAGCCATGCTCAGATTCTAGACTCACAGAAACTATGGAATAGTCGATGCTTATTGTTTTAAGCCTCTAAGTTTTGGGATAATTTGTTCTGCAGCAATAGATAACTAAAACGAGTTTCAAGTAAGCAAAACCCATCTCAAACCTACTTCAACAGTTAAGGAATGTGTTATCTCGTGGAACAGGAATCCCAGAGTGGAGTAGCATTCAGTGTTAGTTGAATCTGAAGCCCAAGTTGTCATCAAGGATCTTGGTTCATCCCAATTCTTCTCTGTATCATCTTTGGGGTCGGCTTTCCCCTAAGACTGGGAGCAACGGGTCTGTGGCTCTTCCAAGTATCATATCCAGACACTAGAATTTTCATAAGAGGAAGACAGACTATCTCTTTTAATAGTTTTGTAGGAGAAAGGAAACCTTTCCCAGATACCCTCCCCTACTAAAAGTTCCTCTCATGTTTCATTGACTACAGTTGAGTAATACACTGACCCAATTCTTTGGCAAGAATGGAAAGACCTTAGATGAGCCAGGCCCACCTGGTAGATGTGGATGGGGTCAGCTTTCTCTGAGGTACGTGGAAGTCACTGGTCAATGCTGGAGTTCTGTTAACTTGGAAG